GGGGGCAGGGTGTTTTGTGCTGAATTTTGCGGTTTCTGCCAGCGTCCAGCGGCCGCTGTGTGGTGCGGAGCCTCCGCGGAGGCCCAGCTCTCCGGTCTGCATTAGCCCGGACCGCGGGCTGGCTCGGAGTTTGTGTCCAAAGGTGCCACTTCTGAGCAGGTCGGAGTGGCGCAGTGAGGACATTGGGGCTGTCTGTGGATGGAGGTGCCTGGGGACAGAGCTGCGGAGCAAAGACATGAGCTACCGTGTGGCGTTTGACCCACGCGAGCTCTCGGCTGCCCTCGGCCCGTCCCTCCTGCCTCCCTTCCTGCTGCAGCAGGAGCCTGTGGGCTCCCTCCCTTGCTCTTCCAACTCCGGAATGCAATCTGAACTGCAATGCGAGCTGCAATCCCCGCTGTGATCCCTGCCGCAGTCCCCACCTCGGGCACCCTCTCCCCAGCCAGGAGCGCTGCCTTGGAATCGCAGCTCCCAGCAGGGATGGAGCAGCCCTTCCTTGGCAGCGCTTGGGGAAATTGCCCTGCGCTCGTCCCTGCCAATTCCGGGCACTGCCGGAGCCGCGATGGCTTTTGGCTGCCGTTCCAGCGGTTTTGTAAAAAGACTCTCCTTGCGCAAGGGCGGGCGAGTGTTTAACCAACACGGCCGCGAGCGGAGGAGGGCAGGGGGGCTGCAGCCCGGCGAGCCCGCCCAGGAGCCCCGGAGCCGGTGCCCTCCTCGGGATGCGGTGGGAAAGGGGCAAGGCAGCGTCGGAGCCGTGCGGGGACTTCCCCCGGACTTTCCCATGGGAGGAGGAGGAACTGCGCGGGCAGGCCGTGTGTTTGCTGGAGGCCTTGCCCTGCGAAGGGAGCCTCGTTGAGGAGCCCTGCTCGGTTTGTCTTGGCACGGCCCCGCCGGGAAGTGCCTGGTCCTGGGGCAAGGCTGGGCACGGCCGCTCCTGCCTCCCTTTGAAGCCAGCGCCAGGCTGGGCAGCGAGGCAGGCGCGGGTGCCCGCGGGTATTTCCCAGACCGCAGGAACGCCGCTGTCGCACGTGGGCCGTGATGGCTGCGACCTGGGATGGGGCAGGGGTGCCGCGGGGCTCCCTGCCTGCAGGGCTGTGCATGGGGAACAGCCGCAGCTCCGCTTTTGGACGTGCAAGCGGTTATTTTCCTGGTGCTTCACGGCTGAGGGAGGGGATTTGTGCCCAGTCCTGCAACTGTTACTTTGCGAAGAGCTGCGGCTGCGTGTGCGTCGCGGGGGGCCGAGGTCTGGGGAGCCGCTCACCGTGAAGGGCAAAACCCCCCGTAGGCCCCCGCGGGGGGACAGA